ATTGGATGTTCCTTAATGTGGGACTGTCTTTCTTTAATCAAAATAAGTGATGTGTGTAAGTTGAAGATTATGTTAGGTTGTGTATAAATAAGACACAAAATGTTGATAACCTCCCAGAATAACATTGATTTTAATAGTGAAGCAAGCCGAGAAATTAGCTTCCACAATTTACAGTGGATAATAAGTTCTATGATATCTCTATGGATATACTCTCTGGTATATACAATATGGACTATCGTTCTAGTCATTGATTATTGTCAAGGTGTGCCTTGTTTCAACCTCCAGGCATTTAGTTAGTTAGTTAGTGATGTAGAAGTTCGATTCTAGCGTGTGATTCTGTGTAAACTTTTTGAGTTTAGGAGAAAAAGTTACAAAAATGTGTGTGGATAGTAAATTTTGATTATTATTAATTAAATTATTTAAAAAAGAAAAAACAGTAGTTGGAGTAGTTGAAGGTGGTTCCAAGTCCTATCATGTATCATCAGTCTTCATAAAAGTGTAACAGTGTAATTAAGATTTGTCTTTTTAAAATGTGGAATTTTTTAAGGTTTTGGGACTTTTTTTTGGAGAAACTGAAAAATTGTAATTGTGGAAATAAATTGCAATTCTTCTCCAGTTTTTAGTGAGGTGTTCAGCTTGATCATTTGATTGTAGATTTTTTTTAGTTTAAGTTTTTTTCGTTCAGTAACGAGAATGGCTAATGATTTGTTATTGAGATTTAGTGTTCATTTAAATTGTGGCAAGTTGGATATCATTGAAATAATGCAAAGGTTGCAGAATATTTTTACTCTATAAGTTACAAACAGAATCTTCAAATGTTTAAAAAAAACAAAATAATGATAAATGTTTTTAAATGGATTTAGTTCTAATAAACCTTTTTTCTCTTCAGTTTTCAAAATATCATCTTCTTCTGAAAAGATTTAATAAGATTCTTATAAGTTGAAATGCAGTTAATTAGGTGATAAAATGAACAAAAACCAGATTAAAATAAATCTTATACATAGATAAACCCAATTTAATAATGACTAATCTTTTAACATCTATATTAGAGATGATGAGAAATTGGTCTAAATTTAAATATAAACTGGACTTAGTTGAACTGAGATTAACAAAGCCTTATTTCAGACATTATAGTGACTAATATGTGTAAACAATATGCAAGAATAGTAAAAGGTACAGTTAAATTGACATGGATGAATAATACTTATTTTTACATCTTTTAAAATCTGAATCATAATTTGTACATGGATATATAAGAAGAAGTTCTATTGTCAATGTGCAGTATAAAATTATGCATTTATACTTATTTTGACTGGATTTAATACATTTAATTTAATTTGAACACTGAACAGCAATTAAATCATGGTATCCAGGCTTTATAGTATATATGGTATTTTTAAATTATGCATTTCTGTATATATACTGAGATATTCCAATTTTGATATCTTTAGTTTAAGAGTAAGCTTATGGAAAGGTAAAATTATTGTGTTTTATTAGGACAAAATGATACATTAAAACATGCAAAGAAAAAGAAAAATTGAAAGTATTTTGTGAATATCACCAGATTAATGAGGATCATTATTCTTGTTACAATCTATCACCATTAAGCTAATATTTGTGATTTTCAAAAGAAAACTGTTATGAATATCACCCAGAGTGAAAGACCTTGGATTGAAAGACTTCTGTATATTATTTAAAATTCTTAAAGATATAAAGTCTGAATATAACATAGGACATCATGGTGAGATAAGTTAAAGCTGACTGTGTTGATGACTTGCTAATGAATTAAATGATGTTTTAACTAATTATAATTATTACCAAATAACAGTCAGAATTCTAAATAGATTGAAAAAATAATCAACCAGTTTAGTGGTGAAGTATTTTCATTAGTTGAAATTCTAATTACTTAAATTCTTTGTGCTTTTGTTGGTTTTTGTACTCTGTTTTTCAAATTGCATTGCTGCATGACACGAGGTAATGATAATATAAAGTAATCAAAGGGATCAAAACAAGTTATTTAGGTTCTCTTTTTAGGATACTTTTATCTATAATTTGCATCATTTGCGACTAAGAAATGACAGAAATCACTGGTGCTATAATTGGAAGGGAATTCCCAAAAACATAAAGAAATATAGTAATACTTTTGGAATTGATTTAAACCAATACAATTAGTCCCCATTGATCAAGAATTAAATTCTGGCAACAGTTTTCTTGAAAGAAATTTTGACAATGATGGTTCGAGAGAGATTCTTCTAGCTTCTGATGACTTATGGCGTAACTTTCCTTCTTAGTTCTGACTCCAAATATTGGAAATTGTGGTCCATTTTTTCTTATAATCTGTCCTGATGTTTATATTTTATAGCTTAACATGTGTCAGCTGTAAATGATATTTTTTAATATTTTTTATATAAATATTTCTAACATGTGCAATTGCAATATGATATATTATTGTATTTTCTTGGGTTATAAATTTCTTGCATTCAATTCATTTTTTTTTTGTTGAATAGTGAGATAATTATTTCTTTTACCTTCAAAATTTTTTTTATAAAAATATAATTTCACTAGATGTAGAAAAATTGAACAAAGTTATAAACCGTTGAGAAGACACTCAGTGAACTTAGTTTATGTCAGTAATACACAATAAAACAATCAGTTTTTTACAAATGAATCTGTTTTTTTTTTATGCAACAAAATGAAGAAAAAACAGCTTTGCTTGACTTGAGTGATTTAGTTGAAATATATAAGATAAGTTATTGATTTTGATGATTTAATAAGCATTTAAATCAGAAAAGAAGATACTGAAATATGAAAGCAATGTAATTAGACAGGAAAATATTATAATATTGTTAACCTGGAAAGTTGACACTGAAGGTTCTCATTATTATTAAAATTCACAATTACTCATTGAATATCATAAATGATGTGAGTAAAAATGGTAAAGTGTTAAATATATGATATGATATGTGTAAATCTCTACGGATACCATGGTTAAAAGATTAATCTGAGTTTCACAATGATTTGTTTCTAACTAGCAAATGCTTATATATAAGCTGATGCCATTCTTATTATAAAAAAAAAATTTCATGAAAGCGGACAACCTAGTAAACTGCAAACTCTATCCAATCCTTTGATTGGTTATAATTGTCCTAATTTGTCTTTCATATTTGTAACATATCATTAATTGTTGTGCATTTAGTGACATTTCCTTCATCAAAACATGAACTATTAAAATGACAATTGAGTCAAATTCTTTGTGATGTTACAAAAATCTGCATGTGGCAATTAAACAACAGTATTCAGTTGGCTTTAACATTTACTTCATATGTGTACTTAATAGTTTAAAGTTCTTAAAAAAATTCTAAAAATGGATTGAACAGGAGGTGAATTATCCTGAAATTATTCATTATTCAATTGTTTTACAGTTAAAGTTGATTTAAAAGGCTTTATGTGGAATGTTGATTTAAAAAAAATCCAAAAACAGATTGCAAGGTCAATGGTATATTTGTTTTAGTGCAGTTTTTCGTTCAGTTTTATGATTTTGTGGATTGTTTTAATGCTTTATGGTAGAAATCCTGTTAAAAAAAATGTTTATTCAGGGCAAGGTGCTGTTTGCACATGCATTATAAGGTATATATTATTCTACATCTCTTTCTATGTAGGTGGAATAAATATATGGTTTGGACTCTGAATTGATGAAATGAAAAAATATCCAATTCCATTTTAATATATTTTTTTATTCTGTAAAGTGGACACAAAATATTTTGAAAACAATATATATATTGATTTGGATATACCTGCTAATTAAAGGTTTAGTTTTGAACAGGTGCAAAATGTGTTCATTGTCAATCTTATGAAAATATATGCTTGTGATTAATAAATGATGTGTTTTAAAAAACTAAACTTACATTAACTTTGATTTTTGAAAAAGTAATGACACTTTGGAAATGGAATCTATATAAATAACTGTTGAAGTAACTTTTCATTAGTGCTAATGGTTTTGATAAATTTGAACAGTTAGAATTTTGACATTGAAATTTTGAATAATGCCAAGGTGTACAAAACTGAATTTTTCCATTTTAGATATTAAAGCCTTGAATATCAAGTTGTGTTTTTTTTTTATTATAAAAGATAACTGATATTTTTTAGATGAACACATATTTTAATTTATTGACCAAGACAACGATCTTGGCTTCATCAGATTTCATCTGTTATTTTATCATTCCTATAAATTGATATCAAAGGTTTTATGTAAGTGATATATGGGATTTTAAAGTATTTTTGATGTTTTTCTTTTGATACAATTAGTAGCTAAAATAAGAAATCAATAAAATTTATTTTTTCAAGATCTGCCTTTCATTCAGACACATAAACATATGTAGATCTATTGTCCCAATTTTTTTAAAAGGGATAAGGATTGGTGATGTTGCTATTTCTGTTTTGAAAAATTTGGAGCAATTTATTCTTTCTTCATTTTTTCTGATCCACTGACAAAAAAAAGAGCGCCCCTGGAATTGGTCAGTGCTGAAAAATCTGGAAAAAGTGGTTATTTTGCTGTTTTGTTTTATGGACTTTTTTTTATTTGTGCGCATCATTTGAGTTTGAGATTGTATATTTTGTCATTGTAGTAACTGATTTCCAACCTCCAGATAAACTATTGATCAGGTTATTATACTATTACATGAGTCTAGTGGACACCATGTCTTACCTTATTTCAGTGTGTTAACATTGAGTTGAAGACCAAAACTTTCTATGTACTGGATGAGTAATGTAAAACCCGCTACCTCATTCTATTGCTTTTGGAGACTTTTCTAGTACTGATACAATTAAACATCAATGCTTCCAGTTCAAGAGACTGTCAATTTGTGGGCTAAGAAAGAAACAAATAAAACTTTGGACCAGGAACTATTTCATTCCATTATGTCAATTATAGCTCTTTGGACCCTTCACTTATCGTAATTTAGTATTAGTAATGTGCTATTGAGAGACTAAAAGCTGTCACTATGAAAATTTACGTGGAAGGTGAAGATATTACCCAGATGTGTAAGGATGATTCGTTGACGTGTAAAGAATCGAATGCTCCGTCATTAAAGGAGACTAATGTTGTAAATGACGATAAAGAAATTGTTGTAGTAGTTTGTGAATGTGATAATCATACTTGTAATAAATGTAAAAAAGAGAAAATAGAAAACTGTGAGTGTCAATATTGTCAGGAAGAGCAGACTGGATTTACTCCTAAACACTGTCAGAGATCTGGATTCGAACGCAACAATGTCTTTGATTATGATGATGATGTTCCTATCTTGTAAGTGTTTTTTATTTTCAATAATCTCAGCATTTTTAATTCATTTTCTCTTTGGAGAACATTTCCTTCCAAAAAATCAGTAATTTTTGTCAGAATGATGTTCCAATATCACATAATTTCATAATAGAAAAGCTTGAAACAGCATTTATTTTCAAATATTCTTAATTATGTTTTATTAGTTCTGTACAACGTACATAAATGTTATGGTCTATAAACAATTTCTAAACAGAAGCCACATCATAAGATATGGACAGAAAATATATAAATTTCAAACAAAAATAATTTTTCAAATGATCCACCTTAAAAGTTAAAATCTGAGTAATACCCCAAGGAAAATAACATTTTTCTTCAGATAACAAGGAGAAGTAGTATAACAAGTTTGATTATTAGCTAACTTGAGAACTGTCACAATACAGATATTGCCTTCTCAATCAATATCAATAATTGGAAATCTGAGAGAAAAAAAAGATGTTTCCAATCCAGTATTGTATTTAACTAGAAAATGTGTCTATGAAATTTTGATATTGATCTTCTTATACTGCTAGAAAGATGATTATTTTGAAAATTTTCAACTGATTGATTTAATTGGTCCTTATTTTCTGGTTCTCAGACATGACTAGGAAATTTATACAGTTATTTCTGACTCTAAATTTTTTCTTAAAATTGTAAGGATAATATTCCTTTTGAGACAATTTTTTAATTTAAAAAATCAATGCCTTGACACATTTTGCAGATCTGTGTCAAAACCCTCTGAAATGAAAAACAGAAACATTTACCCTGTATATTTCTTGAAGGATGGATTAAAAAGTGAAAAGCATAGTCAAAGTATGAACTACTGAACATTATTGAAATATGCCAAATGAATACAAATCTGAATAAAGAAAGTGTGTAGCTGGTTGGTTGAAACATGAGCTAAGGTCCTGTCCTGTGTGCAACATTCTCCTCATATCAAAGATCAATGACAGAAGGAAAGTGATAAAACACTAGGTTTTTGCCAATGTTAAAGCTATGTAATTGTTTCAATGCAGACTGCATGGTTTATCTCTTTTTCCTTGGCAATATAAATGTAGTGCGTATAAATCGTTTCCATTTCATCTTTCAAGGATGTATAAAGGCGATTATGAACTGAAACTTTTAAAACAATATGGGTATATGAAGTGTATATCAAGGTACATAAGGCAGTAAATATGAGTAGGATAAACAGGTATATCTAAAATATTAACCACTGTAATCAAATTGATCTAGCACTAGTGTAAGGCCTCATTAATCTTGCTTCTTAATTAACTGGAGTAATTAAGTTATAAATCTGTATCCTAGTTCTCCAGAGACATAGTACTGTAAAATTATTCTCTCATCATCTAGTGAACTTGATGTACACCTTGAAATGAGATTGAATTTTACAACCTAGTGTTCAGTGCTGCATTAAAGGCACAGGTTCACCATCCATTTGACCAATCGTAGCTTAGTCTCAGAAATAAAAACTAAGCTAAGCTAATCAGTGATCACAACTCACCATCGAAATTTAATCCTTCAAATCCATTTGTGTCCAGAATTCTTCTTTTATATAAAGAAATGAAGATAGGTAATGGCAGGCTGTGTGCATCATAGTACTTGTAACAAAGTTATTTCTCTTTAAATGAATAATGAATGAACTTGATCAATATTCCAAAAAAACCAAAACATTTTAACCATGTGGAGTATTCAGACAAGGTTTTACAGATGTAGAAATTCTAACCAAAATTTCGTTTTGGATCAGATTTTTCAAATTTTTAATTTTAAGCACTAATTCTGAGGATATTTACTTGCATGAGCTTTCATGCATTTCATATTTTCTAAGCCAACAATTAATCTTTACCTTCTTGCAGAAACACAATATGACTGTTTTAACAAAGAAAATATGTGGTTATTATATATCATATTCATATTTGTATCACTTTCTTCGTGCCAATTTCATTAACACTCTGTTTGAGATCTTTTGCAAAATTTGCTTGACATACTTTCTGACCAAGCTGTCAATGAACAATGTTTATAACAGCAGACATGTATTTGCTAGTTGTACATAACACAATTTGGTGATTGCAAAATCGTTACCGAAGTATTTCATCTATTTTCTGACGAAAGCTACGTATTCCAGAGAACAAAACTGTAAGATGTTGCAGTTTTACAATGATTGTAATTAAGTGTTGCCCCACTTTGCAACCAAAGTGTTAATTAACAATGATGAAGACAGAATAACACCAATAATTGAAGCAATATTTGAAACCCTAACATATTTATTAACTTTTCATACTGTGAGCTGGATGGATGTAAAGAGGAGCTCTTGATTTGACTAGTTGCATTCTGCAATTAGTTTGTAAGATATTTTTACCATATGCAATTTTGTTTCTTTTTTTTGTACATCTGTAAAATCAATTTGCTTAGATAATTTTAATGAACCATGATGGTCCCAATCTTGTGTACCAATAGACAAACTTTTGATACTCAAGAATCATAATCTGATGGATTTGTCTTATTGTGATCTTGATGGAAATTTTTATTCTAAATTTAAATATTTGTATATTTATATTTTCAGGTTTGCTCGTAGTATAATGGATAGATTAGATAAGTTTCAGATTATATATAATAATCCAACAGCTACGTACTATGCTGGTGATACTGTGTATGGATATGGCTGGGTCGTCATTAAAGAGTTAATGTATGTTCAAAGTAAGTTAGATTTTATTTCAAACACTCGCTTCACACAATCGTTGGTAAATTGAATTTGAGCAATTTTTAGATGAATTGGAATATCAGCTGTTTAATGGTGAAAAAAGTCTGAAAATGAATTTGCGATGCCCTAAATATAAATATGAACACCTATTTTCTATTTGAACTATTTTTACAACAACAAAAATTTCAGCCAATATTTAGGACATTTTTTATCATTTACCTCGTAACAAAAGATGCACTGACAAGTAAACATCTGGTAGTAGGTAGTAGTTATTTTGTTTTGTCAAGTTTCAGGACTGTCTTCTTGATCCATCTATCAATGTCTTTGCTCTTCTGAAATTGATTGATAAATATTCATCTAAAGATTGTAACTGGGTGTATCTAATCTTGATCTTTTTTTCAAATTTGAATTTGAAATTCAGTCTTCTTGGAGCCAAATCTACAAAGATTTTACGTTTTTCAAATGAAATCTTAATTTCCTCTTTCTCAATCTCATTCAAATTCATTGCTTCTAAATAATAAGGTATTGCATCTAAATAAGATAGATTGCCTATGCAAATAAATCTTTTTATTTCCTGTGAATTCAATGGATTTTGATGTAATCTTATTAGGTACGTTCCTCGAGACATACATTATTTATTTCATGCTATTTTATGCAATTTTCAGATTGCTTTTTTCATTTGGTATCAGAACAATGTATTCTGATATATTCCCCAAAGAGAAAAACACAATTTTGTCTGGAGTTTATTTCTGCTTTTATTTTGATTGTTTTCATCAAGATGCTCATTTCAAGCCATTTCAATTTAAAGCTTTTGTCTGCTGCATCAGAATGGCGTGTTAATCCCAAGTTCTTTGTTATTTTATCACCATCTCCCATGGTAAAATAACTTTGATTTCTAAAGACACTTCAAAAGATTAAAACAGAATTGTTCCCAAGTGATAAAAAAGGTGATTTGTGATTCAAAATGAAACTGGTTCAGATTTACAGTAAGAAAATTGGATTTATTGAAATTAATCTGGAAGGCAATTTCTTAGATTTGAGGAGAAAAGAGTAGGGTTGGAAGCTGATATTAGACTGTTGTTTCTGGATTAGATTTATGTTCATGTAAAGAGATTGAAATTTCTACTTGATATCAGATATCAGGAATCTAATCAAATTAGTGATATTTTTTGAATTTGAGAAAGATTTGAGAAAGAAAGATGGGCAATCGTGGATAAAATAAAAAAAAAAGATACAAATACAGGCCTGTAGAATGACAATCTTATTTTAGGAGAGCTGACTGAAGTTGAATATCTAATACTTAGTTATTTTAGCTTTTGAAACTAAACAAAAATTGAGCAAATGAATTTTAGCAAACAATGCTCTGTTATCAGGGCAGGATTGACAACTACTCTTAGTTTAAAGTCTTTGAATGGCATTTAGCAATTGTGAGTACGATATATAGGCACAGNTTTATGGAACA